ATTCTTCTCGGGGGAGGGGCAGGCATCCACTTAGTATTGGGGGCTGGGACCAGCCCCCCAGACCTCTCCACTGATTCCCTACTCCGCACCGGCATGTTGTCTTCACACCTTGGAGCACTGGGTTGAAGTCTGGTCCCTCTTTTCCTGTGGCAGGAGGATTTTTATCTGTGTGTCTTCCTCACCATCACACCTATCCCGACTAATCATTATTGCTACTTTCAGTGGCCACTTGATAAATCACTAACACCGTTGACTCAGTACTTCACCTGGAATAAAGAATGGATGTGGAGAAATTGATATAAAGATGTGCAGACAGGAGGTGGGAGAGATTTCAAAGAAGCTTCTCTGTGACAGTAAAATCAGAGACAAGGCTGTGTTCTGGGGACGATGGAAAGATAGGACATTTGAGGGGAAGGATCTAGGTACTATAGTGAAATGAAGAAATTGATAAGGGGGTTGCTAACAGCCCAGTGTGGAATATTGTTTTTTCAGGTTTGTTAATGACTGAAGTTAGAGGGGAATATTGTCTACACTCTTCATGCATGCTTACATCACCTCTTTTGGATAATGATTTATTCATCATTCCCATACAAAGATTTGTTTTCTGTTTTTAAATATCAAAGTGAACTTTGATTTTAAACAGTATTTTTTTTTCTTCTTTGTTGGAAAACAAAGGTTTGGGATGCAAATATATCTATCGAAAGGATGGTGACCCTTTGCACATAAGCGAACTTTTGGAGAGTTTCAAAAAGGATGCTAGAAGCGTTAAACTGAGGGCCGGAAAACATCAGCTCGAGGATGTGACGGGCGTATTGAAAAGTTTCCTCTCGGACATTGACGACGCCCTTCTCACCAAGGCGCTCTATCCATACTGGATCTCTGCTTTAGGTAACACAGAACACGGCGAGCGTAATGAATGCTTGCCTTCTCATCTAACCCACATAGGTTTTTCTTTGCTGTTTTTGATCGTCTGTTCCTTTCAAATATGTATTTGAAAGGAACAGTGTGCATAATGGCTTAGAACATAACATGTGCAAATGTTAACATTATTTGAATCTAGTACAAAGGAAAGCTGTAATTATAATGATTAAATAGTGTTTTATGTACTTAGTTTTTAGTAAGTTTCTTAGCACTTACTTTGTTTTAAATTTGGAAGTGTATCCAAATCCATGTATGCCATTAATTTCTCATTAAAGATAAAATGAAGAGTTTAATAAAATAATTAGTTTTGTGAGATTTCTCTATATGAAACTTTTGCTTGTCTTTTATGAGTATTGTACTTCTTTAGTATTGATAAGATCCGCTTTCATTGTTGCTAGCATCATGTACCCCAGATACTGCCTAATGAAGTACAGAAGTTTTGTTGTCATATAATAAAACCTATTAAAGAAATGACCCTAGAAATGTAGTTTATCACTCATTGAGGCAAACTTATTTCAGTAAAATACCTTTTTTATTTCCATTAATGCAAAATAACTCCTTTTATTGAAATATTGCAATATAGACTTTTAAATATGAATATTGCCATTAATCCCATCTTTTTCATAAAATTGTTTTTATTTTTACATCTGTTTTATAGTCTTTGTCTCATGTGTGAGTAATTTGTATATAAAACATCTTTATTTTTAATTAATATGCCATTAACATTTCCTGAGTTTATATCGTTCTCAGAAAATATAATTTTTCATCTTAATGTCTTTTAATTTAAAACTTTGTTATTCAGTTATACCAGAATGTACTACTCTATTTTATCCTTATAAATCTAATGCACTTCAGGAAATTTTGTAAAATGACCTTTAAATTAGACAATTTGATATGACTAAGTTGAAAAGTCCTGCCTTTTTATACAAAATATGTGTTTAAAGCTTAACCAATAAAAAATTTCAAGGAATTAATTATGAAATCATGTCACAAAATATCCACAGCTTAAAAAAAAAAATCAGAAATAACTCTAGTTAGGGTTAGTAAGAAGAGGGTTATATTGCTATGAAAATATAGCTTTTCTTATTTAATTACTTAATTCTATATTTTATTTGCTTTGATATTTTTTCAGATTTATTGACAAGGAAGTCTTATTTTTGTCTGCCCCCCAAGAAAAGATATTTGGCAAGTTGCAGACGTGTGTCTGAAGAAATGTGTTCACATTTCACCTAAATATGACTTCTTTGAGAGTTCAGTTGGACAATTCTTTGAATCCTGAACCAAATAACCTCCCCCTCTCCATAATATAAATTAATTATAGCTCCCCCAACCTGTCAGAAGTGTGTCATGTTTGATCTGACAAGGATATACCGGAACTCTCTGGGTGACCTCTTCGAAGAACTCTCTAGAGTACTACAGTCTCAGGGCCTGACATTCCTTAGCAGTAGCATACTAATATTAATATGGTAGGTAAACTCATCTTCAAAGAACCATTAAATTGTCTGGAGCTTGAAACAGGAGACTGGAGTATTGGCAGGACTGTGAAGAGTTGCACCCATTGAGATCATGGCCATTTAGATCATGGTCGTCATATTTGGCGGCCATTCTTGAGCCAGGCCACCATTTCTCCGTGCCCTCCTTCTGGAGAGCTGTGGCTGCTCTGCAAGGAGCACACTGCTGGGATTCTTCCTGGGAGGGCAGTTAGGGTGCCATCAGGGCGTCCACCTGTGATTTTCCCTATTCTAATGCACACATTGTGCATATATTCTGGCCCATTCTGGTTTCATTTTATCAACTGCAATCAGAAAGAAGTGACTTAAAGTGCTGCTTTATTATTATATGATAAAGATATGTAAAAATATGTTATAGTAATTGAGATTGCAGGGAATTTGGGGTCCTGAAAACATGCTTTAATACTGGATGTATTAATTACCCTTGTGATTGATAACTGGAGAACTTGTTTGGATTACTTCTTGTTATTGTTAATTGCCATCAAGTCATATCAGACTCATGGAGGCCACATGTTTGCAGAGTAGAATTGCTCCATAGATTTTTAAAAGCTGTGACCTTTGGAAGCAGAATGCCACGCCTTGCTTCCAAGTGACTTTGAAGCCAGGTGGCTTTGAACTGCCTGTACTTACTGCTATTGAGTTGATGCCACCTCCTAGCTATCCTATAGGGAAGCCTTGAGACTATAACTCTTTTTTTCCCTCTCCCAGATACTGTAACTCTTTATAGGAGTAACAGAAAGCCTCATCTTCCTCCCATTTTGCTGTTGCTGGTTTTGAACTACTGTACTGCCCTTGTAGATTATAGCCCAATGCGTAATCACTATACCACCAGAGCTACCTTGAACTGGCAGCGTTTCATTGAATGGTTCAATGCTTAAACATTTGTGCTGCCTAGGGACTCCTTGGATTTTAGAGATGCTAAATAATTCTTAATTCATTTTCAGGATAACCTAGTAATACAATATTACTGCCCTTCAGCCCCTGTCCTTTGTTTTTGAAAATCATTGACTGCGCTTTTAACCCAATACAACCCTGCTTACTTTTTACACATCTCATGTGCAGGCTGCAAAAGAGATAGTGGTTGCCGTTTGGAATCGAAATGTACTTGAAAATGTGTCAGGGAATTTCTAACATCCCCAGGGATCCTAATACCCTTTACAAATGACCGTGTTCTTTTAAAGAATCGTTAATGTGCTGCTGGCATTCTGTGAATAAAATAGCTCGGGCTATGCAGCACCTGTAAAGTCATATTTCCAAATGAAAAGTAGTGTTTCTGAGTGTACTTGAGAATTGAGAGAAAACACATGAATGTAGCCCCCTTCCATTAGATCAGCGGTTCTCAACCTGTGGCTGCAACCCCTTTGGGGGGTCAAAGAACCCTTTCACAGGGTCATCCATTTCATAACAGTAGCAAAATGACAGTGATGAAGTAGCAACGAAAATAATTTTATGGTTGGGGGTCACGACAGCATGAGGAACTTATATTAAAAGGTTGCAGCATTAGGAAGATTGAGAACCACTGCATTAGAGTAAGCACAGATATTGATTTGAAGTATGACCTTTTATTTTCCCTAGCAACTAGTAGATTAGATCAGGTCACCACCCTTCATCCACTAGAGTCTGAAACCTTGGGGGAATCCTGTCTCCAGTTCCTGCAGTTATTTGACTTTTAGAATTCAGAGAGTGGAAGTTACTACTCCTTGTTCATCTCTCTGTGAAATAATCAGGTTCTCACCTCACTGCCATTGAACCTATTCTGACTCGCAGAACAGGTACAACTGCCTCTGTGACCTTCTGAGACTAAAGGTTTTGTTGTTCTGTTTTTAAATCATTTTATTGGGGGCTCGTACAAGTCTTATCACAATCCATACATCCATCCATTGTGTCAAGCTTGTGTACATTTGTTTCCTTCATCATTCTTAAAACATTTGCTTTCTACTTGAGCCCTTGGTATCAGCTCCTCATTTTCCCCTCCCTCCCTGCTACCCCTCCCCCATGAACCCTTGATAATTTATAAATTATTATTATTTTGTCATATCTTACCCCATCTGACGTCTCCCTTCACCCACTTCTCTGCCGTCCGACCCCCAGGGAGGAGGCTACATGTAGATCCTTGTAATCTGTTCCCCCTTTCTCCCTCACCTTCCCTCCATCCTCCCGGTATCACCACTCTCACCACTTGTCCTAAGGAGTTCATCTGTCCTGGACTCCCTTTGTTTCCAGTTCCTATCTGTACAAGTGTACATCCTCCAAAATTAGTGGCAAGGAGGGTGTAGGAGGTCTGGCAGGGCTGAATCAAGGACAATGTAACCGAGAGGAACTCCTGAAACCCAAATGAAGGCTGAGCATGATAGTGGGATAAGAGGAAAGTACAAAGAAGTAGAGGAGACTAAATTTTTATGGGAGTAAAAAGCCTCATCTTTCTCCCTCAGAGCAGCTGGTGGTTTCAAATTGTTGCCCTCGCAAAACTGGGATGGACTTTTTAACCAAGTTCTGTGTCCTACAGTGTTAGAAGGTTCATTCTCTTGTCTGGAGCATAGTTACTAGTGCCTGCACACAGCTTCCCTGATTATCCCTTTATCCTTCCGTATAGTTGAGGTAGTCAGGCTGATTAATAGCCCAGCACATAGATCATGGGTGAAATACAGGAAGCTCTAGATCTGACATGGTTTATAACTCTTAAGAAGAGTTTTGTGACTTCATAAGGAAAGAAGAATCAGAAATACCATTTTTCACATGTAAATAAAAGAGCAGCAGTTAAAATACTTCTGGCTTTTCTCTAACATGTACTCCAATTTGAGAAATTAATTGAATGTATTCTGGCTAAGTGAAGTTCAACCATTTTGAAAGTATTTTGGCTATATAAAAGATAAAAATAACTGGCCTACAGCCATGGATTTCAGCCTTCAATGTAGATTACAATGCAATGTTAAGAAAATCGTAAAAGCACCCCATTGGACCAGTAAGTGACATTATGATAAACAAATGAAGGACTGAAGTACTCAAGGATTTCCTCTTGCTTGGATCCCAGTCAATGCTCATGGAAGCAGCGGTCAAGAGATGAAACAATGCATTCGTTGGGCAAAACGATTGACTGAGACTTCATTAGGTGTTGGAAAACAGGGATGTTACTTTGAGGATTAAGGTACACCTAACCCAAGCCGTGGTATTTTCATTTGCCTTGAATTCTTGTGAAATTGTGCATTAATTGAATTAGTAAGGCTGAAGAAGAACCAATGGGTTTGAATTATGGTGCTGATAAAGAATATTGAAAGTAATGTGGACTTCCAAAAGAACAAACAAATCGGTCATAAAAGAAGTTCAGCAAGTGTACAGCAAGAGAGGCAAGGATAGGGAGACTCCTCCTTACATACATTGGCGATGTTGTCAGGAGAGACCAGTGTCTGGAGAAGGACATCACGCTTGGCAAAACAGTGCTACAGCCAAAAAGAAAAAGGCCTTAGCAGGACGGACTCACCCAACGACTGCATCGATGAGCTTAAACATAAGAACCCTCAGGATGATGTCACAGGACCAGGCAGTGTGCCTTCCGTTATCCACAGGGTCGCTATGAATGGGCACTAGCAGCAGGGGCACCTAACAACAATGTGTGAATTAAGCCTACAGTGACCACTGACCTTCTTAAGAGTTTTGAAAAACAAGCATGTTACTTGGATGACTCAGACACCTGACAGAAACCATGGTATTTGCAGTCATTTCATATGCATGTGAAAGTTGGACATTGAATAAGAAAGATTGAGCGATGATGCCTTTGAGCTATGATGTTAATGAAGAATATTGAAAGTAGCATGAACTACCAGAATAACAAACAGATTTGTCTTAGAGGAAGTACAGCCAGAATGCCCCTTAGAGGGAAAGATGGCAAGACTTCATCTCGTGTATTTTGGGCATGTTATCAGGAAAGACCGGTCCCTGGAGAAGGACACCATGCTTGGAAAAGTGGAGGGCCCGCAAAAAGGTGGAAGGCCCCTGACAGAGGGATTGACACAGTGACTGACTGCAACACCGGGCTCAAACATGGAACAATTGTAAGGACACTGCAAGACTGGGGTTGTGTTTCCTTCTGCTGTCCGTGGAGTCTCTGTGAGTCAGAACTGGCTCGAGGCACTTAACAACAAAGGACCTTGGGGTTTTATATCCCTTGTGCTTCTCTATGCCCCAGAAGTGTTTTTAACAATTAATGGAAAATTCCATAATTTTTTAATTCCATGTTTCCATGTGCTTTGCAAAGTCCTTTTATATTGTTAATTACTAATGTAACTAGTATAAGTGTGAAGAGTTTTCTGCCAAAGGCTGATTTTTCACCAAGAGAATTATGACTATTGTTATAAGATAGTGTTCAGAGACATATTGATACTATATAATATTTGTAAGGATGTCATGGTAGTCCTAAATTGTTGTATTTTTTCACCTCCAGATACTCAAGATGATAAAGAAAGAATTAAAAAGTATGGAGCATTTATACATAGTCTTCCCATGGTCAACCGAGCAACACTGGCAGCTATAATTGAACACCTGTACAGGTGGGTGGATACGTGAACTTTTCAGGTCATTTCAGTTAAGGCAGGGGAATTTCTTACATGAATCCAAGATAATCAAGTAGATTGCCCTCGATGCAGCTAGTGCATAGGGAAGAATTTAAAAACTCATTTGAGAGGGAAGTTGGAAAGAGGGGAAGTAGAGGGGCAGACTCCCGCTCCTGGATCTCATTCTCCACACTTTTGTTTTTCTTTTGGATGGTAGATACTTTATAAACTCTCATTTCTGTATTCTTGCTTTATATTTCACCCAAACTTAATGTAAGTCCATTATTGGATGAAAAAAAATTAAAGTAAAACATTGTCTGTGTCAGGGCAGTAAGTCCCCTAAATTTGGAAGGAAGGGAAAACAAAAACACCAAAGCCAATGTCATTTTGATTCATCATGACCCTGCATAGGGTTTCCAAGACTGTAAATCTTTATGGGACCAGGCAACCCTGTCTTTCTCCAAAGGAGCCGCTGGTGAATTTGAACTGCAAATCTTGTAGTTAGCAGCCCAAAGTATAATCCACAGACCCACCAGAGAAGGACATGTAAGTTGGACCCAGAAAATAAGAATGCCAAATGGATGAAGGGTGTTACTGGGAACTAGGATGCTAGATTGCCCCACAGGAAACTATGAAAGACTTCGCAGGTCAGACCTGTTGTTTGCGTTGTCTTCTGTTAAGTGATAAACGAGTTACTGATCAAATATTTAGACTCTCTCCTGTTGGCTGGGAAGTGGGAAAACAGAGGCAGACAGACTAGATAACAATTTGTTTAACTTTGGAGGCAGAGGGAGACGAGAAGGAATAGGCTATGAAATGAGGGAATGCCGGCATCTGGAGGAAGAGAACTCAGAGAAAAGGAACTGGCATATTTCACCCATTTGTGCTGAACTTAAGATAGCTAACGGGACTAAGAGTAAGAGAGAGGAGCAGAGCTGAAAGAGGAATGGTCAGCAAGAAATCTCCAGGAGAACAAGAATGGTCAATAGTTTCAAAAGTTGGATGCGATCAAGTTGATTTCACATTTAATTCATTTCCTAATGATCCATGACTAACATTATTTAAATCCATCAAATATTAATTATTCACCTATAGTGCTATTTAGCTGCAGCTAGGGACTGCAGAGGCAGGCATTGTGGATACATAGTACAGTAGTACTACGAAGTACATTACTGGGAAGTCCAGAGTAATAATGAAGTGCTTGGCCATCTTGTAGATCTGAGCACCCTTGCTTCACTAACTCTGCTGCACAATTTGGCATTATCTTATACTTTACATTACCATATATGTCACTGTCGTGTTTCTTCACTTTTTCAGGTACCTACTAGACTCTATGTTTGTTTGTTTTTTAATAGACCTCGCATGGTCTTGCTATACTCTCTTCCTTTGGTGGAATTTGTATTTCACTTTGTATTTAAAATTCTCCAAATGTATTTCAACAGGCATTCAAGCAGCTGCTGTATTTCAGTGAGTGACCGAAGAATGAATACAGATGTTCATATGTATCACACGTCACCTGTAGTACATTTTTATGTACATAATGTGGGTTATGTGTTCAAAACTGCCAGCCCCTCCACAGGAGAGATACCAAGCTTCCTACTCCTGCATGGATTTACAATCTGCGAAACCCACATGGGCGCTGGTACCCTATCCTGATGGGTCACTATGAGTCAGAGTTGACAGCTGACAGTTGTTTTTTGCCCCCGCCCCCCAGGACTACCACTGTAATTTTTTATTACATTTAATTTGTGAACACTTTACACGCTCACTGTAAGACCTACTGGCATAGACCCAAATATGCCTCGCATAGACCCAAATAGTTTCCTCAAGGAAACTAAGTCTCAGAGAAACAACTTCATTATTAGAAAGAACCAGGTTTCTGTATATCCAGAAAATATGTGGATGATTTTTTTAAATCAAGTGTTGCTTTTTGAGAGGATTCTGTTGTGAGTAACCAAGCAAACACATGCTACCAGACACTCTCAGCTGATAGCAAATTCCTGAAAATTGAGCCCAGCCCTGACCCTGGAATTTGGAACTCTGCTACCTTGTGTTCCTACTTGGCTTTTCTTGCCTGTTTGCTACACAGGCGCTGCCCCATTTTATCCTTTTCATCCGAGCGTCAGTTCCAGCCAGCTTTCATCCTCCTTCAAACACGCCTTTATATTTAGCCACAGGCTGTCCGATTTTGTGGAATTCTCTGAAGTGACCAGTCTCTCCTTTACATCATTAATCAAGTACTACTTTGTAACTGGGACTGAGCTCTTCCTTAACTTCGTTTTTGTGTTATTCGCTAGTCTGGAAACTACTTGGAATCAAGAACCATGCAGACAGTTTTTGTTGTTGTAGTTTTCTAATCACCATAACACCTTTTCTATCTGAGGCATCCAATGTGTGCTTTTTTAAAAATGATAACTAAGTGCTAATGCTCTATCGTTTTATGCAATTTTCAAATAGAAATGAGTTATAACTGGCTGTGTGTTTTTTCTAACAGGGTACAGAAATGCTCAGAAATCAGTCACATGAACGCTCATAATTTGGCGATGGTCTTTTCCTCTTGTTTATTTCAAACGAAGGGACAAACTAGTGAAGAAGTGAATGTTATTGAAGATCTAATAAATAATTATGTTGAAATATTTGAGGTAAATATCTGTACCTGCTCTTGTTCAAACAGTTTGATACAAAGATATGTATTTTAGGATGTTTTTATGCTGGTCTTTATGAATATTTGAAGATAAGAGATAGTGATAGTTAACTTAAAAGATATCTTGCTTTCTAAGCTGTAACAATTAATTTACTTCAGTCTTTAAAGTTTTCTTGCCATCTGGTGCCTGCTGGACAGAATTGTTCTGTTTTTAGAACATTTACGTTTCTGTTTGTGTATTTTGTTTTCTCTCTCCTAAGGATGTGTCTACATTAAGTATGTCTACTTAGAGAAGTGTGAGGTTATAAATTGGTAAATAAAAACCAGGATGTTAAACTCGTCACCTGACAACAGTTAAGATTTTGCTAATTTAATTCTCATTGGTTAAAAAAGAGGAAAATTCTGAAGTACTGTTATTAAACAGCTTTTACTGTCACATCCCTGTTTTACTTATTTGGCTTTCCTATTTGCTATTTTGTTGAAGTTAACGTTTTCATATATTATCAGAAAACTGCTAGGATAAGAAAGATTTATTGGTTCAAAGAAGGAAGTAGAAATGGAGGAAATGAGCACAGCCTTTGAAATGGGGGATGCGGAGAGAAGAGGCCTGGTGATGCGGTGGCTAAAGCACTTGGCACATAACTGAAGGGCTGCAGTGCAGACCCACTAGCTTCTCCATAGGGGACGTGTGGCAATCTGCTTCTGCGAAGATCTTACCCACGGAATCCCTATGGGACATTCGACTCGGTCCTGGTGGTCGCTATGAATCAGGATTGACTCATTAAAAACAGTCAAGTTTTAGTTGGAGTTTGAGGGGCAGGGGGATAAGGGATCGATGGTGCAGGTCCATCACCTAACTAGCTTTGGCAACTCAGATTTGTCATTCCGTTTTTCTGAACATTCCATTAAATGGTGTTCTATAAAGCTACTTGTCTTTCAAATTTGTGGGCATACCAATGAAATCAAGTGGGTTTATGCAAAGCAGTGTTTCCCCAAGTGGATAATGCGTTAGTGGTGGTGATGGTGTTAGATGCCATCCAGTAAGTTCCAACACATAGCGACCCCGTTGACAACAGAATGAGACATCGCCCAGTCCTGCACCATCCTGAGTCCATTGTTGCAGCCACCTTGTCAATCCCTCTCACTGAGGGCCTTCCGCCTTCTCACTCCTTTTTGCTCCGACACGTTATCCTGGACTGTGGGCTACGGTAAAGTTTTTAAATGCTAAGGGGACCATTGAGTAATTTTTTGTGTCTGAAAAGAGGGCAGTAGGCTAAATAATTTGGGAAACTATAATGTAAAGGTTAACCATGCGAAGATTTCATAATTATTATTATAACAGCACAAGAATTCTTTGCAAAGAGAAACCATTTCAATACAAGAGCAGCGTGTATATCTTAATTGACATAGTAATGAACACCAGTATTGTTGAACGCTCTTTCTTCTCTTTATCTTTGCTGTCTTTTATGTGTGCATGCCTTTTAAACAATAGCGACCTTTTTGGTAGCCATGATTCTGATGCTGCAAAAGGCCATGAGTAGAGAAAAATAAAATCATGTGTGGCTTTAAATGCTCTCTTTATTTTATTATACTCCCCTATTCATAGAAAATCATAGTTGTCTAATAGCCTGGCTAAGCCCAACTTGAACAGAATAGTGGAAGCGTAATAATCACTTAATGAATGTTTCCATTTAAGAAATGAATTTTTGTATCAAAATTATACAAACTTTATGGAACCAGTCATCAGCCTCTTCACTTATTACTCCTTACCAATCAGACTTCCACATCAGTCTGCATCCTGAATTCTTATTATGCAAAAAATGATGTGAATTTTATTAAGACTCTATCTTGCTTTATCTCTAGCCCTACATATGCAGGTCCAGGCTGATTAACATGGCCATTCTCATCTATTGTTAACTGGTTGGCATTTAAATTGCTGAAGGGTTTCCTGAGGATGAGTGCTGAAGCTCCTTGTGACCTACTGTATAAGAATCTCTGAAATTCTATCGTACACAGGTTAAAGAAGACCAAGTCAAACAAATGGACATAGAGAACAGCTTCATCACCAAGTGGAAAGACACACAAGTGAGTCTTGCTAGGCAGATCCCGAAAGAACACCAACAAATGACCGCCCTCCCTGTGGAAGTGCTGACATTCGCTGTGTGCATTTTTTAGTTCTTCTAGAAGCAAATTAAAAATTCATGGGGAAGAATGAAAGAAAAACTAGATAATGTTTCCTGAAATTTTGTAGCTTTCCACATACATGCAAATTGTGAAAGCATATTATACAATTTTCCAAATGCAGAGTAAAAATTATCTTCATCTTTTATGTTTTTCTTTAAAAATCAAATATATACATTATATTTTACATGCATCTATTATATTTTACATATATATATACATCCCACTATTGAAATGGCAGTGGGTTTCAAAGGAAGCATCCAAAGCCAAATAAATTTTAGAATAAATTGGAAATTCAGACTCGCTGGGTCTTAATGATTCTTTATATTGTGGCATAGAAAATATCCATTGTTACATAGTATATGCTTTTGCCTATATATGATTGTATTCACTAATGGTATTCATTTGAATCCTTCTAATGTGGTCCTTGCACTATGCTGATTTTGTTACAGAAAAGCAGGTCTACATCTTGTCTTGCTCTCCTCAGTCACGTTCTGTTGGATTTTAGTGTTTGTGTTGCACTGCACTGCTCTAGGCTGCCTTTCCTTGTTGAAGAATAGTCACTGGAACTTCTTCCAGTTGATCATTAATCATCTTATAAATGGGAATTGTTGTAGGTTTTTACTACCAGTGTAAGTGAAAGACGTGGTTCAAATGTGATCTAATAACATCTCAGAAATTGAGGAAAAAGCTACCTTATTGCTTATGCCCTAAATTTTCCTCCGCCCTGTAATGTCCATTATTAATTAGAAGAGACATCAGCTATCAGTCTATCTGAAGAAGACTAGATAGAGGAAGCTATCATTTTTTAATGCCTGGATTCCCAATTATGTATTCTGTGATATTAATTGCCAAAGGAAGTTATCTTTCATTTTGACCCAAATTAATTAATATAGCTTCCAAATCCGTTGTTTTAACTTCAAAATGTCTCACTTTGGGGAAATAAAAGATCCTATGTGCCTACCAGGTAGTTTTGGGGAAAATTATATGTATTGCTTTTATATATAAATCAATGTCCTTCTGTATTATTACATTTGACAGACCTATTAGGAAGAATTGAGTCTTGAAAGATTTCTAATTCAATATATTTAAGTAAAACTAAGAAGAAATTATCTGTAAAACATAGTAATTGGGAGAGAACAGTAAAGAGTATTGAGAAACCTGTTCTTTTGCTTGAGTTTTTATATAATCCATTCAACACTTTCCTCTAGAGTCTTTTCTGACAGTCTCTGTCATACCTTTGTGTGAATTTCATAGCTATTCTCTTTTTGGCTCCAGCCTGTGAGTTCCTTGTGAGTTTTTCCTTCTAATTTAAAAACTGTATCTTTCCTTGAGAAATGTTTATATAAACACAGTGAAAAGCTTAAAAAAATAGTCAACTTTTTCTTTTCTTCCCTAGAACTCTTTGTGTAGCATCTAAAATAAGGAAAAATAGGAAGTGAGCTTTTCTAAGCCTCCAGTACCAGAATAATGAAGGAGACTTCTTCAAAATACATCCTTAAATGTTTCCCCCACAAATTTACTCATTACATTTCACTCAGAGCCAAATTTAACTTTGCAACCATTGCTTCTCCATTACAACAATTACAAACAAGAGAGAGCTGCAAACCAAAACCAACAGGACTCTGATGGAGACTGTGTTTAAGTGATTCTATACCTTTAAATGTTTTTGGAAAACGTGACTCAAAAGAATTCTCATAAATCTAAATGGCTCTTTATGAACCTTCTCCACATTACCCCATCTAAATAGTAAGATTGTAAGCTAGTCTACTTTTTAACGTGTAGCTTCATTTAGTATATCTTTTACAATAAAGACCCTTAGCGTTTAATGCTTTGTCAAAGATTATTAGAATAGAAAGCACATCCTGGTTTTCTGCCTTGATTCATCACTTGCTAAAATTTACTTTCTATACTTATGATGTAAATACAGGTCTGACTTAATTTCACAACCAAACATTACCAATTTTTAGACATACGATGCGTTAAAAATCTTAGGAGGACTTAATTTCCCTTTTAATTACTGGTGTGATGCTGCACTACAGCCGAAAGCAGAATTATATATGGCTCCTTTTCTCTCCTTCTTTTATTTATCCTGCTAACATACGTGGGGATTGCTCCTAGCACTTCTCTTGTGGTGGTCAGCATATATCTTTTTTTAAATGTAAAATTAAACTGATCTTTCTTTTAAAAAAAAATCATTTTA